GCTCGGCCTGCTGCCGCTGCGTGAGGTGGTTCCTCCAGCCCCTTCTCTTGGGCTGGCTCTGCCGCTGCCCTGCCTAAGCGCCAAGCATGTTTGTCTTGCTTGTTTGTCCAGTCGAAAGGACTTGTAGCGAGTTAAGTTTTATGTCAGGTGGGTGAAGTGGGCTGTCTCAGCCAGATAGGCCCTGTAGGCAACAGGGGAGCGGGGCATGCTATAGTCGCCAACTGTTAGGTCAGTATAACCACGTGCAAATACTGCTTTTCTCGTTTGTAACCATTCACAGCTTATTCTGAATCCTGACGTGACCGCAAAAGGATTGCAGCCACAGTCTAAGAGTGCCGTTTAACAGATTAAACCCACATAAGTTTGGACTGACGGTTTCCTGCTGTCCTTTGTGCTGGCGCTACTGTTCACGTTACTGTGCAGCACAGGTTACTGCACAGGCTGGAAGCAGCAGTGGGTCCCTTGAGCCTTGGCGATGGCACAGCAGAGGCACGAGGCTGTTCCTTTGGGAGGGAACACCGATTAAAATTAGAGCCACCCCACAAGACTACTAAGCCAACCTGGCTGTTGCAGCTCTGCCCTGCCTTAGACTCATGTAATGATTTAGGTGAAAAGATACCTTTAGAGGTCATTTGCTTCATTCCACCACTCGTAGCAGGGTTAACTTCAGCATTAGATCTGACTTCCAAGTTAGATTAGGTTGCCTTCCTCACCTGTGCTGTTGCTCACTGGGCCCTTGGCTGAGCCGTTTCAGTGCTCTGACCTAGGAAAAAAACTCCTTTTTAAAAATTGTTAAATGAGTTTTCTGCCAGCTTGGCATGCTGAAACAGCTCTTCAGAGCCAGCATGAGTAAGAGGGTGGGACCAGGGAGAGCGTGACTATAGCAGCCAGCGGTTAGATTGGCTCAGGCGATCATGAAACCGCAAACATCCGGAGCACTGGGCAGAGCACTGGGCAGAGGGAAATCTCCTGGTGGCTGAAAGGCAGGCTGCTTGAGCAGCAGTGCCCATCTGTCACCAAAAGGTGCTGGGGTCATCCTAGACAAGGCAGAGCTTCCTCCCCGGAGGAGTCAGGATTAGCTTTGCGTTCTTCAGCAGAAGTCACGTGAAGGCAATTGTTGATTTATTTAAATAAAAGGAGTTGGCAGTCTAATCAGTTTGGTAATTAATTTCCTTGTTAATTTGGGGGTTTTGACTTGCTCATGAATATTCACGAATCCTCATCTTTTTTTTTTCTTTATGTAATTATTTTTGTGTTTATCAGATCACCTCTGAAGGTGACATTTCTCTTCTCGTTCTGCAACGCGGCAAACAAGTTCAATCTCATGTCTTGGAAGAGGAAATCTGGTCTGGTGATGATGTCTCTTTTGCCTTTTCTTTGCCCCAGTGTCCTCTCTAGCCTTTCAGCTCTCCTCTTTCCTCTCTACATGCTACCTAGAAAGAAATAAGACAGAGTCTGTTCAAAGAGGAGGGCTGGCCTAGGCTTGGCACCTGGGAAAGCTTGTCAAAACCTTCTATGCCAGACAAGCTAAAGTCATAATTGCCAGCTGAGGATTGGGACAAAGTGGTTGATTTTTTCTTACCGTGCCTAGAGTTTTATGTTCCTTCTCCACCCCCAGCTCCCTTCAGTCAAGCACCCTTCAGTAGCACGTGAGACAGTGTGACTCACATCTGTCACAAACATTTGATTTCTCTTACCTCCTTTCCCTAGAGGGAGACAAAATAAAAGAAACATGGATGTGTTTCTCTGGAGAGTACAGCTGATCTAGTCACCTTTTTTGCTGCTCTCTGTTGTCCCATCCTGCCTGTCCTTGCTCCTTCTCGCTAAAGTGCATCCTAGCCTCCATTACACGTTCCTCCCTGGTGAGCTGTGCCTGTGTCCCACATGTATGTTCTTAGAGCTTATGGCATTTCATAACATCTATCAGCTGAGCTAGACTTATTTACTGTAAGGGTGACTGAGGACTGGAAGGGGTTGCCCAGAGAGGTTGTGGAGTCTCCATCCTTGGAGATATTCAAAAGCCATCTGAAGAGGGTCCTGGGTAACCTGCTCTAGGTGACCTGCTTGAGCAGAGGGGTTGGACTAGGTGATCTTCAGAGGTCCCTTCCAACCTCAGCTGTTCTGTGATTCTGTGATGGACTGAGGACTGTGGTGGTAAAAATCCAGGTATCCTCAGTTATAATGACTCCTGTTGGGGGTGGGAGGAGCAGGGTTGGCAGAAATGGTGTGAAAGCTCCCCTCCTTGCCATGTTCTTGTGCGCAGGGGTGAGCTTGGCCAAGAGCCAGCCCCTTAAAAAAGTAGCATGATGCACACAGCGGAGCCCCCAGACTTAGGTGCTGCTTCCAGACAGCTTCATTTCTTTAGATAACTCAGCTTTGATACAGTCTCCGATCTGTACAATTTCTTATCATTCAGAGAGCATACCATCTCAGGGCTCAATGCTGTATGAGGAGAGATGGCAGCGCTGCACCAGCTCCGGAGTTCAGCCAAGGGCTATGTGTGCCAAGGGTGTGGGCAGGCCAGGCCAGGCTGCCAGTTGGAAAAGAGGTGGCAGAGAGAGGTTTAAAATTGTATGGCAAGAAAATAAGCCAGCAGCAATGTAAAAGCAGCTGCATGAGGTAAATGAGCCCTGGAAGGGGAGGTAGCGGGAGGCTAGCGGGGCTTCCTTCTGGAGAGCAGAACCATGCAAGAAGCACAGCTGGGCACCTACCTGCCTCTGAGGGTACCAGCCCACAGCCGGCTGAGACAAAAGCTACCACAGCAGTTGCTCTCTTGCAACCTTTATAACAAGCTCTTCTACACGGTTTTGATCCAGGAGGGTGGCAAACACAGACCTCCATGCCGGCTGCCTGTTCCTTCTCCCATCCTTGTTACCTCCTCCACGGTCACCTGTGACCTCAGTGGCCCACCTCAGTTCTTCCCTTCTTTTTCTGCTCACCTGATTTCTTCATCTCTTTCCTTCCTGTTCTTCCTAACACAAGACACCCACCCCTGGACCTTCAGTAATGGCTACAGGCCACCTGCTTGTTGCACCACTGTGTGCTGTGTCTTTGGACACCCTTTGTCTGCTGTCCATGTATAAACTGTGTAGTTCATGGTGGCTGCCCCATCAATATAGGTGGTATTTTGTGTCATGGGATCCTACTTGGCTATCTTCTAGGGCTGACCTGGCCTGACATGTTCAGTAAGTTGCCTCTGTTGGTACCTGAATTAGCCAGGGGTACCCGAACAATAGGCGGAGAGGAAGAGATGTGGTTGGAAGGTGGGATAAGGTAGTGACACCCATTTTAAAGATGGAGGCTGTTCATTCTTGCCCGAATTTTCATCTGCTTGTGGGACAATATTAGGTTTATCCCGAAGCTGGTATTTTAATCCTGTGAGCGTATTTCTCAGTGAGGCATGTTGTCCTCACTCTCTCAGGGAACTGTCATCTCTTTAGCAATTGGCTGATTAAATCCCCTGGCAGCACGCAGCAGAGAGCATTTCAGCACGTCATTTCTGGCTTTTTTTCCATTGCATGGAAATAGATTGCGTCTTTCCCTATTTGGTTACTTCTCTGTTTGGCATTGT